GGCATCTACCCTGACTAAGGTCTAATGAGGTCCTTGACTTGGGTCCATCCTTCAATGCAAGTCTTTTCTGTCATTTTATCAAATTTACTTATTTTGAAACACAATAGCACACCTCTTCAAGCCACAAAATGTGAGGTATTATTCATAATCACAGAACAAACTTTGCATTTTAAGATGTGTCAAAGTTAAATACATACAATTAGTGGCCTTTTCAAATCTTGCAAACCACCGCTTCACCAAACCACCACCACCACTATGAAACATGTGGCATATGTGAATGTAGTTTGAAGGTTTTCACCTTTTCATTTGGTTCTGCTGGAGAATTAGTGGCTCTTCTCCTTTCTGCCTCTTGCTTGAAAGACAGGAAAGCTGTTAATGGTGTTTTGGCAGGTAATCCATGACCTTCATCAAATTCATCATCTTCATCACTGAGGGACGTCCCATCGCTATCACTACTGCTGCCTGCAATTTAAAAGGCAATTGTGTTAGTATGCTGAGTGCATGGAGCAGCACTTCATTGTATTTAGAACATCATGTAGCGAAACAACATTTGTAGAAACATTCTTACTCGAATCACTCAGACTTGCACACCCTCTTTTGCCCAACCTGGGGGTGTGGCTACCCTTCCCCTTGCTCTCTGTTTCCATGGAAACATGGCCAGGCTCCTGTCAGTTACAGAGGAAGATGAATGTGATTATTGGAAGGTGTTAAAAGCCACCGCTGAGGACATACGATACGTGACTGTGCATGCGTGCATTATCGAATTATCACCTTGGTGAAATTGCCTCTAGTTTCTATATTGCCTATAATATTATATTTTATATTGACTATATAATATTTTATAAAAATCCTTTTATTTTATATTTCAATTTATTTTATAAACATTTTATTATTTTTTCTACTTAAATAAATATAATTTTAAAAAATCAAATCATTCCATTTTTCTACCAAGACTTGTTTGCACATATTTTATGCAGACAATAGAGAATGCATATATTAGCATGTCTATCGGCGTCTGTCCGCTGTGGTCACACATACCTCCGGGGATTCTCCGCACGCCCCCTCGAGTGCTGCCTCCTCCTCCTTTTTGAAAACGGTGTAGAAGATGTACACCAGCAGAGAATAGAAGGCATACATGTTTCCTGAGGTGTGGATGTTACAATGACAGCGGCTGGAAATAAATGCTTTGGCTTCACAGCATCCCTCTGCTCTTCTCACACTGCAATGCAATCAGACAAGTGTTACTAAACCGCTGCACCAGAAGCAAATCCACCACAACAAATCCAGTCTGGATGACATTCCCATTGTCGTCAAGCTCCAGAGAATGATGCTATTCCCAATGTTTCGCAGAGTCTTACTATCTGCTTGAGGTTGATACTAAACAACTGCAATCACTGCATTCTCATTCTTCAGCTTTGAAGCTCTACATGATGATTCTGTGCCTGTTCTCCGGGATTTGGATGGCAACACCAGCTCTTGACTCCGCACATCTGTCCAACCTACTATTCCTGACTTCCTTTTACCCCTCCTTCTTCTCCTCCTCTCTCAATATCATCTCTCTCCTCCCCCTTCCTCTCTATCCTCACCAGTGTTTGAGTGTGCTCAGCGCAGAGGTGCCATGCACTGCAGTGGTGGGGTGAAACTAATGGAGATTGATGAGAGAGGGGAACAGGAAGACAGGTGCTCAACAAAGCATTCGGATATCGATAAATTCAAAGTGACAACCATAGAAAAGGATTCTATGGTGATGTATCATGACAACCAGAAGTATTTGTTTCCTTAGTTTCTAACACAGCAAGATTGTGAATTAACACAAACTCATAGAGCTTAAAGTCTGATGATGATATTTTCTGCCTGTAAACAGAAGACTGTGGTGATAATAACTAGATTTTTACTTTTTCCAAAGAAAATGTGAGTGGTGTTTTGCGGTGCAAAACTGGGCAATAGGGAGTTGTGGTAGGTTGCCAGAGTGTTATTACATGGTTGCTAAAGTGTTCTGAGTGGTTTTAGCATGTTGTTATATGATTTCTGCTGTATTCAGGATGGCTATTATGTGCCAAGTGGTTGTTAGGGTGTTCTGTGTGGTTGCTTGGTGTTTGGTAGGGTAACATAGATGGTTGCTAGGTGTTTGCTAGGGCAGGGGTTTTCAACATTTTTAGGAGTGACTTTTTTGTTTATTAAATAGTGTCTTTTATATTGACATGATCCATATATCCAACGTTCTGTCATGACACTCGGATTGCGCAGTCCGGTAGGTCTAATTCAATCTGACATGATGACATCACATGGCGCAGCTGATTGTTTTTTTTTTTTGTATCAGCAGCCAATGAGCTCGCTGCTTAACATTCAAATGCTTGGCTAGTGCTTGCTGTAGCAGTTGCAGTGTGCTTCAGAAACCCTCCACCTTACCCAGCTCCACCTGTATAGATCTGCTATAGACCCATTGGATTCATGTATGCTATATGGGGGTTATTTCGTTTATGTTATATGTGCAGCAGCAGTATTTCTTACATGCTCACAGCCGCATGTTGTGGATGTATTGGAAGAAACAAGTCTCAGTACTTGCTCTGCCGCAGCAGCAGCGTAGCAGGTCTATTCCACCAAGACCAAAAACATTAACACTGTCATATACATTACCATGCTAAATCTTCCGAGAGTTGTCATGATAGAAATACATATAATATTGTGGCATGATGCAGGGAGGGCAGCAGAGTGAGGACAGTTAAAGCAAATCTTAATGAATGCGAAATTGGACTACTTTTACACCGTTGTTGCAAAATGTTTCTTAGTTTGCGGGTTTAAGCGATCTCCCTGGAACGCAATTTCAATGGAGGGGGAAATGGGGAGAGGGGAAAACCGTCTTTATATTTCTCTCATGACAGCTCTCGGAATATTTTAGCATGGTAATGGATATAACAATGTTAATGTATTTGGTCTTGGCGGAATAGATCTGCTACGCTGTTGTGTTTGTAGATTATTGCTGCTGCAAAGCAAATACAGGAACTTGCTACTGCCAATACATATGCTGATACGCTGCTGTGAGTATTTAAGACATACTGCTGCTGCACAAATAGCATAGAAAATAACCCTTAGCAGATCTATACAGGTGGAGCTGGGGAAGGTGGAGGGTTTCAGAGTAACTCTGAAAGCGTGCTGCAAAATGCTGTAGTGGATGCTAACCAGCCATTTAAATGCAAAGCAGCAAGCTTATTGGTTGTGTATGCAACATGAACCAATCAGCTTGTTCCAAGTAGTTTAACGCTGTCATTAAAAATTTTTCATTAAAATCATAAACGACCCATCAGCCTGCGCCATCTAGAGTTTCATGACAGAACTTGGCTTTTTTTTGTTATTGAAGTTACGATACACTACGCTAAGGTATGCTAATGTACTTATAGATAGTTGTTAAGTGTATGCTAAGGTGTTGTAGATAGTTGCTAAATATTTGCTAGATTGTTCTGTATGGTTGCTAGGGCTAGTTGTTTGCTAGAGTATTCTATGTTGTTGCTAGGGTGTTTTTAATGGTTGCTAAGTGTTTGCTATGGTTTTGTAACTAGTAATAAGTGTTTTCTAGAATGTTCTGGATGGTTGTTGGGGTCTAGGTGTTTGCTAGAGTATTCTACATGGTTGCTGGGTGTTTGCTACAGTGTTCTGGTTGATTATAGGTGTTTGCTAGGTAGTTGCTAGAGTGGTTGCTTGTTGTTTGGTAGGGTGTTCTGGATGACTCTTTGGGGCTAGGTGGTTGCTAGTTGTTTACAAGTCAAATGAGCCCACTTGCAAGGTTCTGTGACATTTCAGTACCTATAAACTAGGACTTTTTTTTTTTTGTCCGTTTAATTGTCTACTAGGCAAAAATAAAGCATAAAGGGTCTCATTTGCCTCTAAGTTTAATACTGAGGGTCAGGAGTTTTTAAAAAGTACAAGCAAAAGCAATTCCACAGTCAATTTCACAAGCAAAACCAAAAGGTGCCTCCCTTAGCTAGCACCACTAAACTGAGGCAGAAGTAGGAGGGTTATTGATACTACAATAAATTTAAAACTGATGGGACACTTTATTGATACCATGCTCTTTCTAATGATACAATCGTTTGCAAAGTGCCAGGGATAATCATCAATCAGAATGATTAAAGTGCCTTATGCTCAGGCCTCCAGGATACTAAATCCTGACTGTAATGGACCATCCTCATCGCGTTCCCCTTCCCTATTACAAGTGTCATAATATTGAAGAAATAAGTCTTATGGCTAATTTAAAATCATATCTCAATGGAGACTTCCTAAAAGGATTTTACATTAGTGCACTACAAGCACTAAATCTAGGCTTGCGATTCCCATGTGTCCTTCGTGATTGCCGAACACCTCATTAACAAGATGCATCAGCATGATATTTAAAATAACATCACATCCAGTGAGCAAGAAATAATGTCTGTATTTGGTTTTGGTTTTAATATTTTATTCAACATGTTTCATATAATCAAGGCCATGTAAAATCCTAATTTTGAATTACACAAGTTAGTGACTTATTCACCAAACCTGCCAATTCAGGTTAAAAATATATATAAATAAAAATTAATTGTAACAGCATACACTGATGTTTATTTTCTGTGCTTCATTGTTTGAATCAACCTGTCCTCTGCACAAACATATAATACTATGCATCTTTAAACCAGCGTTGTCAGAGATGAGATCTCACAAGAAAAACAAACTACATGTACCTGCAGTGACTAAACAAAATATCTTCTTTTGTGTTCAGCAGGAGAAAGAAATTATGATGAATTGCTTGTTCTATTCCTCATTTGTAAGTCACTTTGGATAAAAGCATCTGCTAAATGAATAAATGTAAATGTTATGTAAATTCATGCAGGTTTGGGTGAGTAAATTATGACAGAATTGTCATTTTTGGGTGCATTATCCCTTTAAGTTGCATTTTTGACATCTTGATAATTATATTATTTTACAAAAAAAAAAAAAAAATTCACATATATAACTGGACATCTAAATTAATGAGTAAATTTATCATGCACATTTACCAAAGTTGCTCATAATGACAGGACATCGCAACACTGGTTTAAACAACAGAGTCCCATTCTTTCTTTACAAAGACTTCATTGTTGTAGATGCTAAAACAATTTATTCATTGCTCATGGATTTTACTAGCCGTCAATGTCAGTGTAATGGATTTAATGTTATAAGCAAACTCCATTATTTGTTTACAAACGTAAAAAACTCCAGTTTCTGTAGTACATTACAATATAATGTTAGCTTATTAAAACAGAGAAGGCCTTTACATGCAACAGTAACACAGTGTGTAAGCCTGATAATAATCTGAGTACGAAAGTAGCATTTTGTGGTTCTCTGTTGTCTTTGGAAACCATTGCTTTAGTCAGTCCCAGCCTTTTAAATCAAACAGGTATTTATTAAGGGCCTTCCCAGTGGTCCAGCATCCTAATGCCATGATGACTTTAAGGATCCATCTGAGAAGTCCTTCTGTAGGCATCACGAGGGAACCCAAAGACCCAGATCTGGTCCTTGGGGAAACTAATAAAGGCAGACTGAGGGCAACACTCCCTACTGCCCCTGCTGCATTTTCAGCAAACGCACACACTGTCAGCGAACAGGAGAGGGTGGAAAATGCCAGGCAGCGTGACATAATAACCAACCCATCTGATGATAACCAATCAGAGAGCATTATGAAAAAAGTAGAGCCAATCAGGAGGATACGAGCAGTGATGTAGTCCTCACTTAGCCACAAGAAGTCAAAAGTAATAAGAGCAGGACCAAGTGATTCACCTGCCCATTCTAGATCGTTCGTGAGTGATTTGATAGTTTGGTTACTGGGAGAAAAGACTGAAAGGACAGAGGAAAAGCCAATCAGGAGGAAGCCCACTGATGAGGCTCTGTGGTCCTGCGAACAGAGAAAAAAAGTCATAACAGTGCATATGCATCTTACTAACAGTTGACTAAGACACCGAATGGATGTTTACCTTGAATAGCAGATAAGCAGCATGCAATGATGAGACAGACAAAATCACACATGACATGGCTGTGGTAAACTCTGTTATAAAATCCATCAATGCCCTATGAACAAATAAAACAGCTGCGTAAATCAGTGCACTTGTAAGTGTGCACTGCACTACAAACATGATGTTTAAGTATAACATTATTGCAATACAAATGATTGTAATCACAATGAAAACATGAAATAGTTTTGCACTGGCAGATACAAACTCTTACTGGATAATGCAACAAACTTGCAGGTAAAACAGTTATAATGAAAACGAAAAATGCACCATGTATATAAATATAGTAGGTGACCGTGATTTCACCAAGTACAACATGTTCCTGGATCAACATCCTTGTTGATCTGTTTTAGGCTTATGATCAGGGTTTAGTCTATATTTTTGGACAGTAATGTTGATCCAGGATCAACAAAAGATGTTGATCCAGGAACATGTCTTGCTTGGCAAAATCACGGCGACCAAATATAGTAATGCGACTACAAATTAAGCTACTAACTAATACAGTTACTAATGTCTGCATACTGTATTCTAACTGTGGCGAATAGTATTTGTCACACACCATACATACCTGAGTAGTGAAGTATTTAATTGTGCAGCGTTTAATAGCAGAGACATGGCAACTGCAAAATGTCAAGCAACTAAATTAGTATTTAAATCAAAGTTGTTGTCATTTTGTTATGAGACAAAACGACAAAAATTGTGCTCAGCATGTGCTCACTGTTTATCAACAACCCGAGCGAGCACAGGAAGTGTGTGCTCTTCTGCGTTTAGCGGGTAGAGTGTGTGTTGTACCCTCTAGCGGAAGAGAAAGGAACAGCACCAGCAGTAACGGTGGTGCAGCACTCGGTAATTTTCCTCATTAGAGTATCTTCACAACCTGATTTAAATTAATAACTAAGGTGGTCTAAATGTAAAAATATACATATATGTCTTCTGTGGAAGACTCAGGACCATAAAATGTTCGTCCAATCATTGCATTTGGACCGCAGTGTTTTTACAAGAGGGAGGAATTTGATGAAATGGGTTCGACACAACGAACATACAGAGTTTCTTCTCGACAGGTATGCTAAACTTCAAGTTAAAATTATTACTAATATGTTGGACCATTTATTGAGAGAAATGCCTCCACTTTTATAGATGTAGACCCAGTGCTATGTTTGTGATGTTTGAGCTGGGAGAAGACTGACGTGTGAAAGGGGCGTTTGCAAAGGTTGAAAACATGCTGTAGGCCTATTTTTGTACTTCCGTTAGGCTACAGTAGTGGCGCAGAAACCTTTAAAGGGGTCATATGATTTAAAATTTTCCTTTCTCTTTGGAGTGTTACAAGCTCTTGGTGCATAAAGAAGATCTATAAAGTTGCAAAGACTAAAGTCTCAAATCCAAAGAGATATTTTTTATAAAAGTTAAGACTTGTCCACGCCCTCCTAAAACGCCTTGTTTAAACACGCCCCCACATGTCTATGTCACTGTGTGGAGAGATTTGCATAACACCGCACAAATGTTCACACAAAAAAGGAAGAAAGCGTAACTTTTATTCTCGCTGTAGTATTGTTGTTGCCACCACCACCATGTTGTGGAGATGCTGTGTGTTTCGTTGTGAAAGCGAAACTACTTCGTTTGGCCTTCCAAAAGAGGACGATATCCACTTCGTCATGCCTAGAGCTGATCCGTGCTGGTCGCTGAGGAAATACATCAACTTCGCACTGTGGATCACCGGATCGGCTTTCACCGTGGACGAAGCAGAGTCCAGCCCGGGGTCGTCACATGTGGTTGC